ATCCACTCACCTCGGCTTCCCAAAGTGCTGGGATTACAGGCTGAGTCTCCGAGCCCGGCCGATGAAGACTTTTTTAAAAAACGTAGAGGCGAGTTTCGCTATGTTGCCCAGGCTGGACTCGAACTCCTAGGCTCAAGGGATCCTGTCTTCTCAGCCTCTTGAGTGGCTAGGAATACAGGCACGCACCGCGTACCCAGCTTGAAGACTTTAACTATCTTTCCAAATTCCTGAGTTACCATTGACAAAAAACTGAATACAAAATATATTTTTTTAAATGTTGGCCCGTCGTGGTGGCCCATGCCAGTAATCCCAGCACTTTGGGAGACGAGAAGATGACTTGAACCGAGACGTTCAAGACCAACCTGGGTGACATAGTGAGTCCTCATCTACACACACACACACACAATTTAAGCAACAACAACAACAAAAAATAGCCAGGCATAGTAGTGCATGCCTGTAGTCCCAGCTACTCAGGAGGCTGAGGCAGAAGTATCATATGAGCCTAGAAGGTTAAGACAATAGTGAGCCATGATCATACCACTGCACTCCAGCCTAGGCAACAGAGTAAGACCCTGACTCAAAAAAAAGGGGGGCAAGGAGAGTCTGGGTGTAGTGGCTCTCACCATGATTTGGCCAACTGGTGAGGCCAAGACGAGAGGATAGTTTGAGACCAGGAGTTCAAGATCAGCCTAGACGACATAGACCTTGCTCTTCTTATATTTTAAAAAATAAAATTAAAATACATCATCTAATCCAACCTTCTCATCGATACCTCACACTTTTTTTATTTAAAAAAAATTTTAAAGATCATCTAATCCAGCCTTCTCATCAAAAGGGGTGACTTTCCTACAGCATCCCTGACAGATGCTCACCTGGTCACTTTGAGAACATTCCATGTGATGGAGTCTTGTTCTTTTCCTTGATTTAATTATTATAAAGTGTTCTGCCTCTATCAATTCTTCCCACGTATTAGTAGCCTACCATCCTGAACACTTTATTTATGTTAATTCAGTACTCACAACAAGCTTAATATGTAGATTCTATACCTCTCATTTTACAGATAAAAATACCAAAGCACAGAAGGCAAAGTTGCCTGAGTCACACAGTTGCCAGACAAAAGAGTCCAGCCCTTGATCACTTGCTTAACTATTACCCTATATTTCCTTTCTATGCCCTTACACATTATGACAGAAACCTATCTCCAGGCTGATGTCAGTCACCACTTTTGGGCTAAATTGTCCCACTAGTTAAGAGTTCACATAACTCTTCTGTTGTGCAGTCCATATCTCTCTGAATTGCTCACATCAATATCTTTTTTTTTTTTCTTAGTCAAAATCTCACTCTGATGCCCAGGCTGGAGTGCAATGGCACACTCACGGCCACTGCAGCCTCGACCTGCTGGGCTCAGGTGATACTTCTGCCTCAGCCTTCCAAGTAGCTGGAAACACAGGAGTGCACCACCATGCCTGGCTAATATTTTTTCATTTATTGTAGAGACAAGGTCTCACCAAGTTGCCCAGGCTAGTCTCAAACCCTTGGACTGAGGCAATCCTCTCACCTCTACCTCCCAAATTGCTGTGATTACAGGCATGAGCTACCATTCCAAGCCTAACACATCAATGTCTTAAGAGATTTTTAAAGACATCTTTAAAATCAAGATACATAATGTCTATGGCATTCTCCTGATTTATTTATTTAATAAAACCTTCAAAAAGGAAAATGACATCATTTGGCACCCATTTTGTAAAATAAATTTTTTTAGTGAAGTGTTAATAAACACCTAAGCAGCCACGGAATTTTGAATTTTCATAAAGTGAAAACTACCACTAAGCTAAAGAAAGAAAACATTGGCCAGATGTGGTAGCTCACGCCTATGGTCTCAGCATTTTGGGAGGCCAAGGCAGGAGGATAGCTTGAGCCCAGGGGTTCCAGACCAGCCTAGGCAACAAAGCAAGACCTTGTTTCTATTGTATTTAAAAATAAATTGGCCAGGAGTGTTGGCTCATACCTGCAATCCCAGCACTTTGGGAGGCAGAGGTGAGAGGATTGCCTGAGCCCAGGAGTTCAAGACCAGCCTGGGCAACTTGGTGAGACCTTGTCTCTACAATAAATAAAAAAATATTAGGCCAGGCACAGTGACTCAAGCCTATAATCCCAGCACTTTGGGAGGCCAAGGCAAGAGGATTGTTTGAACCCATGGGTTTGAGACCAGCCTGGGCAGCAGAGTGAGACTTCTACTCAAAAAAAAAAAATTTACATATATATATTTCTGGGCTGGGCACGGTGGCTCACACCTATAATCTCAGCATTTTGGGAGGCCAAGGTGAAAAGACTGCCTGAGCCCATGGGTTCGAGACCAGCCTGGGCAACTCGGCGAGACCTCATCTCTACAATAAATCAAAAACTTATCCAGGTATGGTGGTGCATCCCTATAGTTCCAACAACTTGGAAAGTTGAGGGGGAAGGATCACCTGAGCCCAGCAGTTCAAGGCTGTGGTGGCCATGAGTGGCCACTGCACTCCAGCCTGGGTGACAGAATGAGATTCCAACTATAGACAAACAAACAAATAAATTTCCCTTAACTGTTCCTCTTATCCACTCTATATCTGAGCCATAACACTTTTAACTGCCAGAGTCTATATAATATATAGAGGTAACACACGGCTTACAAATCAGATATATCATTGCATAAGGCAGACTGGTTTTTGGTTTTTGTTTTCCAGAGAGAGTCTCGCCCTGTTGCCCAGGCTGCAGTGCAGTGGAGTAATCATAACTCACTGCAACCTCAAACTCCCGGGCCTAAGTGATTCTCCTGCCTCAGCCTCTCAAGTAGCTGAGACTACAGGTGAGTGCCACCATGCCTGGCTAATTTTTAAATTTTTTTGTAGGGACGGGTGTCTCACTTTGTTGCCCAGGCTGGTCTCGAACTCCTGGCCTCAAGCAATCCTCCCATCTTGGCCTCCCAAAGTGTTGGGATTCCAGGTATGAGCCACCGCATCTAGCCAGCCACATTATTTACAGCCTCCCCAGAAAAAGGAGAATTGTTCCTGTCGCACTGAGTAACCTGATGAGGCTATACTATGTAGGAAAAGCAGTTCTTCACCCCTAGGAAGAGCATGTAAGGATTAAGAGTATATTGGCTGAAAATAATTTAGTAACATCCTAAACTGTACGGATCAACTTCAGGTTTACAAGAGCATAAAACTGAAAGGTGTGCTTACAAATGTACTGAATAAGATATTTACAACAGGAAGAGAGCCCTTTTTGAAATTCATATTTCAGGACAAATCAGTTTGTCATACTAGTCAGTCCACTTTTTAGGGTTCCTATGGTAGTGAGCCACTCTTGTGCTAGTTTTTACAATTATAGAAGAGAGGTACAAATAAATATGGGGGTTTTTTTGTGAACTAGCGCCTTTTGTTGGGATTCTGAAATATACTTTTAGGAGCTATAAAAGTATAATATTGTAAACCAGTAAATGATGGTATTTATTTTATTGTCTAGCTGCAAGGGAAATGAGGAAGGCAGAGAGGCTCGGTCATTCCTAACTAATAGAAGTTCAGAAAGTTGAATTGGCACACATAGTCCAGAAGAACTGGAAAAGCATTAAAAACTAATTTGCCTTTAACCTTGATTCTGTTATAAAAAGATTGACACCATTATGCTCTAAAACATGACTGCTTGCTAAAACTTATGTGGGAAGTATGTTCTTTTCATTTTTAGTTGTTGTTTTCTTTTTGGAGTCAGAGTCTTACTCTGTGGCCCAGGCTGGAGTACAGTGGCACGTTCACGGCCACCGCAGCCTCGACCTCCTGGGCTCAAGCGTTCCTTCCTCCTCAGCCTTTCAAGTAGCTGGAACCACAGGCACGCACCACCATGCCCAACTAATTTTTTGATTGATTGTAGAGACGAGGTCTCGCCAAGTTGCCCAGGCTGGTCTCAAACCCCTGGGCTCAGGCAATCCTCTCGCCTCCACTCCCCAAAGTGCTGGGATTACAGGCATGAGCCACCGCACACAGCTCTTTTGGATTTTAAAGGAACTAGTAAAGGAACAGCACTCAATACCAGCAAGAAGCCTTTGGGGAAATTTCATGATTTCCTCACATGAGCTAAAGAAACAGCCAAGATATTGGTTCAGCATTCCTCGAGCTGAGAAATAACACGTTTGGTAGTTAACGTGCAGCTAAGGATAAAGTTGAGGTCCCATATGGACAACCCATTGGACTGCTCATGTGGGCTTCTTCATATCCACATGAATGCTAGAGACACACTCAAATATACATAATTGACTCAGGTCTATTAGCGCATGCCTATAATCCCAGCTACTCTGGAGGCCAAGGCGGAAGAATCTCTTGAGGCTAGGATTTCAAGTC